TGTGCGCGCACACACACACACACACACACACACACACAAGTGGACCTACTAGAAGATACAGCCATAAATGATCATCTTTCCCAGTCTGGGCTCTATTGGCAACTTGGCCAGGATTCTCCCAAGAGGGGTCAACTCATTGTTCCTGTCCAGGGCACCCATCTCTAAAATTCAGACATTAAATCAAGAGTTTTCAAAAACGTTTTTGATAACCTATAAGAAACAACAAAAATTATGTTTTTTTTAGTTGAAGTTAGTTTCAGTATTTGACATGACACTGTTTATGTTGAGGCAATTAATATATGAATAGGAATCCTGTGTTATTATAAATAAGTGAAAAAAAAAAAAAAAAAAAAACGAGCATGACAGTTTGCTAAAGGCAGACTCAAGCATTGCAAACCTTTCAGTAAAGCTTCAGCTTCAATGACTGCATCAATAGGTGGGGGTTCCACAGCTTTGGCCAAGAAAGGACCAATCTCTCCAAGCCTCAGTAACTTGATGCTCAGTGCCAATTCATGAAGTGGTGTACGGAAAATCTCAGGGGTTGTGTGCTGTTCTAATCTAAATTTGGCAAAATGGTCATCAAATTTTCAAAAAGCTTTAGATGCTTTTATATTACTTTTGCAAAACACAATTAAAACAAATAAAATTAATCTAAATGAACAGCTTTTATTTTTCATACTTCATATATTAATTAATCAATGATATATTACTTAATGCCATACAATATGATCTCATCTATGAAAATATCCCAAAAAGCAATTTCAAGTATCAAATGAGAAAAACTGTTAAACTGTCAATCATTCATAGAATGTCTTAATTACTTTGATAGTTGTACAACTAATCTCTTTGTCTATCCCATACCTTTCATATCTGGCTCTACTACACAAGTGGAAGCAGAACCCTGGTCTAACACGTCCTGCCCTCCCCCTCCTTTGTTCTAGGTTTGTCTTGGAGGCCCACACAGTGGCATAGTTTGTCATGTTATTATGGGATGTAAACAGCTTCATTTTGGCTCTGGAAATAACAGATCATTAGTATGAGATGTTAGCTGGCACATTTTTGACAAAGTTAAGGACATTTTGAATTGAAAAATAGTGATCATTGCAGGTCACTGGAGACAAATCAGAGCTACATTTTGTCTCTAGAATGAAATATTTTATACTAAATCAATGTGAAATTTGTTGTATTTTTCTGCCAGTGATCCAAATTTATATTACAAATGCTAAAGCCATAATCAAATTTATTTGAATATTACACCTCTCTTTGCCTTTTCAACATTTCATCATTTGAAAATAAATCATGCTTCATTTATCTATTATAATTCATTACTTTTTTCATACTTAATTCTATTGTCACTAGCTTACTTGCAAGAGTCAATGACATAAACAACATCATTGATAGTGATACTGGTCTCAGCAATGTTGGTGGACAGAATGATCTGAAATAAGTGAAAATATTAGCTACATTAACCTAGACCAAACAATGCTGATGGACATATATTGAAAACGTAATTGTTCTATAATGGTGAGATATATAATAAATATCATAATATGTCAAATTACTTAACTTTAAAGACTCCTATTATGCAATTCACAATTCTACATAAGCACAAGCAGATAAACAAAATAAAACACATTTATTTGTATTCAACTACCCCTACCTTTGTAACACCTTCAGGTACTGGCTCAAAAACCTTGTGTTGGTCTTCCCTTGGGATTTGGGAATGAAGTGGAAGCAGACGATATGCAGGGCCACCTGAAAGACAAACTTTTATGTGTAAACCAACTGATGTAAATATAATAGTTTTTACTTTGAAAAGTTAAAATGTATAGAAAAAACTAAACAGAAGGGACATTTCTGCATTTTACTGAAATAATTCAAACATACAGTGCAGGGGCGGATTTAGGCCGTCTTCTGGGTCTTCCGGAAGACGGTCAGATTTTCAAGTTTACATTGACAGGTATCTATTTTTTTTTCTGTCGGAAGACGATCAAAAATGGAGGATGGATCAACAAAGATAATTTGGAAGACTCTCAGAAAATATCTCTTGATCCGCCCCTGCAGTGTCATATAAATATTCTGTGTAAAATACACTTCAATGTTATCAAATTAGTTTAAACAAACATCTTCATTAAATCGCTGCCTCATCATCTTCAATATCTAAGTATTAACAATAAAAATACTCATACTGTACTACTCCACGATAAGGTCAATAATTTTTTTTCAATCAAATGTATTTGCTGTTTGTTCTCTTACCAAACTCTGGGTGCTCTGACAGGTGTCTGTGTAAGGCAAATATCAGGTTCCACCCTGGGAGAAATATCAAGATGGCACCAGGGATACCAAGGTTCTTGATATACTTGCAAAGTGCCTGGAATATATCATAATTGTCAATATTATAATAATATAATAAATGATACCTGCAATACATATAAATTTGGTGTTTTTCAGCAGGGGTTTACCTAGGTTTTGGAGTACAAGGAGTCCAAAATGTGAATGTGTAATTTGGTCTGTTCCTGAGAGAATGTCAAATTTTATAGATGGTTTTATGGTACGTGTGTAGTATGTAAATCAGTACATCAAAGAAATAAGATTCAATTTAAAAATCCACATAATAAAATTGTACTAGCTTTACACCATTTAGTTCCAACACACACAAACACACACACTTGCTGTATTTTAATAATTTCTTTCAAGTATATTTAGCTTTGCAAGTAGAATCATACACGCTTCAATAAGTTCAAATGACATCTCTTTCTGCTTTTCAATAATTTCTTTAAACTAAAATTATCTCAGTAACTATAATCTTACACACCTCAATAAGTTCAAATGACATCTCTTTCTCACTCAGCATGGCCATGGCTCTTCTAGTTGTGTCATTATAATCTGATGAAATCATCATATTGCAATTTTCCTAAGTAGTAGAAGGATATAGTATAGCAATATATGCTTACATATAGCATAGCATACATAGCATAATACATAACTTAAGATAACATAACAACATAGACTAAAATGTAACAAAACAAATGATGAATTAATAGGTTTGACATTTTTACGGAAAATAAATGGATAAAACTATAACCAATGACTACCTCTTTCTCCCCTTCTTCATCCGCAATGTCATCTTTGTCCCGCTTCTTCTTGTTGGAAGGTGGAGGAATAAAGTTCAACATCTGGACACAATCTTCCAAGTAATAGTCTGTAATCATCATAATAGTTCATCATAAATATGTTCCATAACCTGTATCTTCCTGATAATGTATTTTCAATAATAATGTTTATATATGCATCAGGAAATTGTGATGGTTCGATATTTATTCAACTTTATTTTACATGTAGACAGTAACTTTTAGACTAATCTGATGTGTGTGTGTGTGTGTGTGTGTGTGTGTGTGTGTGTGTGGTGGGGGGTGCACGCATCAACATCATTAAAATAGGAAACAAGAAGTAATAATAATAGAAAATGTTTACTGCCACAAAGTCCACAAACTTAACACAGTATCTGATAATGTTTTCAAGTAACCCCAAGACTACACCCTGAATACCTTGAACAGGGAACAGTCTGCCATGGACTTCTACAACTTCCACTGAGCCAAAGTAGTCAGTGAATAAGGTTGTGTCCACAGTGGCGGACATAATGACAATACGGAGATCGTTGTAAACATGGACCATGTCTCGTAACATCACCATCAAGAAATCGGTCTGTAAATAGACATTTTACACTTTGTTATTGTTTTAAATATGAAAATGTAAGTTTTATTTCTATCATTTAAAAAACATAAACACCAAGTAAAATGGAAAATACTAATTACTAAATAATAACACAATTATGTAACCATTTAATTTCTTTTTTCGCATTTGATAAAATAACACAGTACTATTTGCCTAATACTTTCCATTTTTAAAATCAATGTAAAATCTAACTAAAAAAAATGGATTCAGTTTTAAAACTGAGATCTCTCTTTCACAGTGGTGTTGTATGAAGTTGATTAATTAAAAATATGTGAAGATATTTTGGTATGTAGCATTTCTTACATTAAGATCCCTTTCATGTACTTCATCCACAATAACATGGGAAACACCTCGCAAACCATTCTCCAGTTTTCTCAGTAATGTGCCTTGAAATAAAGTGACTGCATTAAAAATTTCATATAATATGCTCTCTTCGTCGCCTTTATTTAAAGTAAGTTTTTCAAATATTGTTTAAACATTCATTATGATAGCAATTTTCAGATTTTTACAAATTTAATTCAAAAGTGATCATCACACAGTACATGTCATGATCATAATACACTTTAAATAGTAGGTCATATTTCATCAAAACAGCCGTCTTTCTCTGTAAGTTAATTTTAATAAAATTATGCATACATGTGTTTTAAGCGCCTAGAGTTAACTTACCAACAGTACAGCGATGGCGACGACAGACGCAGGTGATGGCAATATGTACAGACACATCTGTGTCTGTACATAATAAAAATACTCATACTATACTACTCCACGATAAGGTCAATAATTTTTATCAATCAAAATCATTTGCTGTTAGGCTTCTTACCAAACTCTGGGTGCTCTGACAGGTGTCTGTGTAAGGCAAATATCAGGTTCCACCCTGGGAGAAATATCAAGATGGCACCAGGGATACCAAGGTTCTTGATATACTTGCAAAGTGCCTGGAATATATCATAAATTTCAATATTAATAATATAATACACAACACCTGCAATACATATAAGTTTGGTGTTTTGTCAGCAGAGATTTACCATGGTTTTTAAGTACAAGGAATCCAAAATGTAAATGTGTTATTTTTGGTCAGTTCTTGAGGTAGTTGGTTTTATGGTAGTGTGTAAATTAGTTCAACAAACAAATGGGTTTCATTTTAAAATGCACATAATGCTTTTTAACTAGAATCACACTCACCTCAATAAGTTCAAATGACATCTCTTTCTCACTCAGCATGGCCATGGCTCTTCTAGTTGTGTCATTATAATCTGATGAAATCATCATATTGCAATTTTCCTAAGTGATAGAAGTATATAATATAGCAATACATGTTCACATGGCATATCATATAATAACATATCATAACACAAAAAGCATAACATAACACAACAACACAAACCAGAACGTAACAAAACAAATATGTTTAACACTTTTTACAGAAAATCAGTGGATAAAAATATGTAACCAATGACTACCTCTTTCTCTCCTTCTTCATCCACAATGTCATCTTTGTCCCGTTTCTTCTTGTTGGATGGTGGAGGAATAAAGTTCAACATCTGGACACAATCTTCCAAGTAATAGTCTGTAATTATCATAATGATTCATCATAAATATGTTCCATAACCTGTAACTTCCTGATAATGTATTTTCAATAATAATGTTTATATATGCATCAGGAAATTGTGATGGTTTGATATTTATTCAACTTTATTTTACATGTAGACAGTAATTTTTAGACAAATCTGGTGTGTGTGTGTGTGTGTGTGTGTGTGTGTGTGTGTGTAGTGAGGGGTGCACGCATCAACATCATTAAAATAGGAAACAAGAGGTAATAATGACAGAAAATGTTTACTGCTACAAAATCCACAAACGTAACACAGTATCTGATCTTGTTTTCAAGTAACCCCAAGACTACACCCTCAATACCTTGCACAGGGAATAGTCTGCCATGGACTTCTACAACTTCCACTGAGCCAAAGTAGTCAGTGAATAAGGTTGTGTCCACAGTGGCGGACATAATGACAATACGGAGATCTTTGTAAACATGGACCATGTCGCGTAACATCACCATCAAGAAATCGGTCTGTAAACAGACATTTAACATTTTTTATGGTTTTAAAAATGATAATGTAAGTTTTATTTTTATCATTAAAAAAACATAAAAACCAAGTAAAATGGAAAATACTAATTACTAAATAATAACACAATTATGTAACCATTTAATTTCTTTTTTCGCATTTGATAAAATAACACAGTACTATTTGCCTAATACTTTCCATTTTTAAAATCAATGTAAAATGTAGCTAAAAAAAATGGATTCAGTTTTAAAACTGAGATCTCTCTTTCACAGTGGTGTTGTATGAAGTTAATTAATTAAAAATATGTGAAGATATTTTGGTATGTAGCATTTCTTACATTAAGATCCCTTTCATGTACTTCATCCACAATAACATGGGAAACACCTCGCAAACCATTCTCCAGTTTTCTCAGTAATGTGCCTTGAAATAAAGTGACTGCATTAAAAATTTCATATAATATGCTCTCTTCGTCGCCTTTATTTAAAGTAAGTTTCTCAAATATTGTTTAAACATTCATTATGATAGCAATTTTCAGATTTTTACAAATTTAATTCAAAAGTGATCAGCACACAGTACATGTCATGATCATAATACACTTTAAATAGTAGGTCATATTTCATCAAAACAGCTTTCTCTGTAAGTTGATTTTAATAAAATTATGCATACAGGTGTTTTAAGCGCCTAGAGTTAACTTACCAACAGTACAGTATAAGATGGCACCATATGATATAAACATGTAAAGTTAAATATCTTACCAACAGTACAGTATAAGATGACACCATATGATATAAACATGTAAAGTTAAATATCTTACCAACAGTACAGTATAAGATGGCACCATATGATATAAACATGTGGAGTTAAATATCTTACCAACAGTACAGTATAAGATGACACCATATGATATAAGCATGTGGAGTTAAATATCTTACCAACAGTACAGTATAAGATGGCACCATATGATATAAACATGTGGAGTTAAATATCTTACCAACAGTACAGTATAAGATGGCACCATATGATATAAGCATGTGGAGTTAAATATCTTACCAACAGTACAGTATAAGATGGCACCATATGGTCGTGGCAGCACAGATTCAAATCTCACGCTGTAGCCACAACTCACACCAAGGTTTTCTGACCTCTCATTGGCTACTCTTTCTGCAATGGACACTGCGCTGATTCTTCTGGGCTAGAAAAAAAAGGAATACAAAATTTTTAACAGACAATGAAATTTTAATTTCTATTTAAAAATAGAAAAAAATTCATACATTTAAGTTAAGAAGACATGGCATTTTGAAAGAAAAACGTTTTTTTTAGCTTTGATATCATTTTTAGACAGATTTTCCTTCATTTTACCACAACCAATTGCATACTATTTAACCAACTTGATTCAAATGAAAATTTTAATAATCTATCCATGAACAAATTCCTGATCGATAACTCATAATAAATACCACAAACACATAACGAGTTTTCAGAATTAATTACCTCATCAGTCCTCCTTCCCCCAACCCCCAATTAAGATACAAAGGTTAAGGGTAAACGGAAAGTTTATCTTCTAAATGTAAAAAAGTACTCAATTAATTTTTTGTAAAAAATTAGAGCACACTTTGAGGGTAATACATGAGCACAATTTATATACACTCCAAGTTAAATAAAACTAGCAGAAACAGTGCAGTAGGACTCAACAGATATTTGAATTCAGTATAAACTACTAGTATCCCGGTCTGACCTATAATTGAAAGAGTAATTTGTAACACCTTAGGTTTTTGCCCGCATCTTTGTCATGAAACATAGTGCCAAAACAGCACTGATAAAAAATGTATTTGACACTGGATTTTGTGGAGACTCAAAACACTCAATGGTTAAACCAATAAAACTAACAGACTAACTGACAAAGCCTTTGTTGTTGCTTTGGTTGTCTAAATAAAAATAGCAAACATGACATTTCAAAATAGCATATATTGACATTTCAGTGTCACACAGACAAAAGGTACATACAGGTATTAATATGTTATTTTAATTGTTATCAATCATGCTGTAATGGTTTATGATAGCTGTCAAATTCCAATCTTCCTCACCCAAACAATTGTTGGTAATCAAAACGCATGACTATCCTACAACAACAATCGCAAACAGGTCATATGGTATATTGTGTCCCCACTGGGTGAGCATTGGGTGCTGAAATGTCATGTGCTATAAATAGTAACAGGAATTTCCACTTTGAAGAAATAGAAAGTATTGATTTTAAAACATTTTGCCTGGTTAAATTGTAATAAAAATCACATATTTAAGTAAAAATATTCAGACACTTTCTTGAGGACCCAGAGATGGTGAATTGGCATTAAATTTGACCAAACTGTCACAGACAGTTTATTAAAATTCACCTGTAGAAGGAGAGGCAAAAAGCAAGGTGAGTTAAAACTTTCGTTGCTTACAGCTATAATTGTTGAATGTAACAAAACCTGTTTGAGACCAGGTGTTATCCATATAGGAGAGGATAAAACCCTATTAACTAATAATTTACTATAAGAAATGTATTGAGATAATGGCAGAGCCAAATATTAATGCACTTAATGGTGATAATGTAATGGTATAACATGTACTGTGTTTACTGGATTCAGAGACATTAATGGCATCATTTTTTTCCACCTCCTGCGATGAAGGAAGATATATGTTTTATTGGCATTGGTTAGTTTGTTTGCAAAATCAATAAAAATATTCAGATAAAATATTATTCAGTAGTAAAATTACTGATCTATGTAATGTGTTTACTTTATAAGTCTTGTGTATTACCTCACCAGACCAGCTTTTTCTGAATCTAAATATCTTTTACATATATACATGCATTGGCTTCAAATTTTAAATAAATATCTAAAAACAAACAAAACAGGTCTCATTTGTTGACATTTCACGCCTGAAACACCAATGTGCCAGTTGAGAAAACCTGTCATACCTTAAGATAGCAAGGGGATTTTTTTTTGTTTACGAAACTGAAATGAAGGTGTTTTTTCCAGCACATAGGGTGACAGGGAAATCATCCAATAAAAGACAAATTAATGTGAGTATAAGAGGACCCACATCAACCTAACTTTATTATTGATCTCTCTTGCAGTCATCTAATTGACCAGACATGGATTGCCTTACCACTGACAGTACTGGATTATATGGCAAGTGCGAAAGTTCACAAGAAGTACATGATAAGTTGCTCACAAGAATAAAAGATGAGCTCACTACTGATAACTTTAAAAATATCAAACAACATCTAAGGAAGCCATTAGGGGCTAGTGTATCAGACGAAAATGACAAGTTGGCACTTCTCAATCGCCTTGAAGAAGTAGAATTCATCTCTTTGGGAAATTATGATGCCCTTAAGAAGTTGCTCAAGAATGCTGAATGCCCCAGATTATGTGATACCATTGAGGAGGCTGAAAAGCGCATTCAGCGATTAGAAAAGAAGGCCAGGAAAAAAAGGAAAAAAGACAAGCAAGGTTGGTGTAAATTAGTTAATGACATTAAAGACATGCAACGTTGGTGTTAATTATTTAGATGACTTAAGTTAAAGACCAAGTGTCATGAACACATGCTTACAGTCAGGCATAAAATTGAGAAATTAAAAAGGCATACCTGAAGGGTGAAATTCATAATAAGTATTTTTTTTATAAAATATTAATTTTGTAACTTGCTGTGCTCATAACAAGTAATTTTTATGATGGAACCATGAAATTGCAGTTTAGGTAATAAATATGGGGATCAATATGTGGATTATTTTGTTTATAAGGCATAATTAACTGAGTGACAAGTTTCATCCATAGTCAGATGATGAAAAGTAGAACCAGAGTAGTTGGGTCGGGTGGGCTAGGGTGGGTAAAGGGCAGTCTGCTTATTGGAGGTGACACATGCTCAAATCCAAGAGGGTACATGCACTTGGCCCTAACTTGAGAAAAATGTTGGATGGGGTGGGGAACATGTTCAAGCTTTAAGAATCTAAATCAAATTCAACTGCATCTTGGTAATGGTTAGTTGTTATATCACAAATCGGGTGTCACAAAGAGAAAGGTAAAAAGACATGCACCCCCCCCCCCCCAATACAGCCCACTGCCCTTTTCCTAGCTCTTGTAAATAAAACATAAAATCTTACCAATAAAAACTTATTATCACAAAGTTATAATAATAAAACATGTAATGTACAAATTCTGTTTATTGATAGATAACAGAGATTTTCATTTAATACCGTATATGAATATGTCAAATAATTATTATCTTATCTTATTATCATAAATTCAGGATCCAAGAGCAGTGTCAAAAGAATAAAACGTGAAGGTATTTGTTATTCACTCATTTGAACTGTGTTAAATGGTAATAGTTCCTTGGTATAATACATATAAAATTGGGGTTAACCTAATCATCACAATCCTATTCAATATACTAACATTTTTCCTGTAAGCATTATATATAACTTAAGATTTTAGACATATGTACATGTATATGGCACATCACATGAGCTTTATTGATAAATATTTTTCATCATTTTTTTCATCCCATATCTCAAAAATTAGATGGTATTGCCCCAGATGCTGAATCTTGTGAAAGACAATATGACACATGTCCACTGGAACAAAGTCACATCACTGAAGGTAATATTTTTGAAGATAAAGGTAAAATCTTTAAGTGACAAAGTATGAAAATTAAAACTCATATTTATTACTTAACTCAGTTTATCTCTGCCTTATCTCAGCACAAGCAATTGAGAAATTAAAAAGGCATACCTGAAGGGTGAAATTCATAATAAGTATTTTTTTTATAAAATATTAATTTTGTAACTTGCTGTGCTCATAACAAGTAATTTTTATGATGGAACCATGAAATTGCAGTTTAGGTAATAAATATGGGGATCAATATGTGGATTATTTTGTTTATAAGGCATAATTAACTGAGTGACAAGTTTCATCCATAGTCAGATGATGAAAAGTAGAACCAGAGTAGTTGGGTCGGGTGGGCTAGGGTGGGTAAAGGGCAGTCTGCTTATTGGAGGTGACACATGCTCAAATCCAAGAGGGTACATGCACTTGGCCCTAACTTGAGAAAAATGTTGGATGGGGTGGGGAACATGTTCAAGCTTTAAGAATCTAAATCAAATTCAACTGCATCTTGGTAATGGTTAGTTGTTATATCACAAATCGGGTGTCACAAAGAGAAAGGTAAAAAGACATGCACCCCCCCCCCCCAATACAGCCCACTGCCCTTTTCCTAGCTCTTGTAAATAAAACATAAAATCTTACCAATAAAAACTTATTATCACAAAGTTATAATAATAAAACATGTAATGTACAAATTCTGTTTATTGATAGATAACAGAGATTTTCATTTAATACCGTATATGAATATGTCAAATAATTATTATCTTATCTTATTATCATAAATTCAGGATCCAAGAGCAGTGTCAAAAGAATAAAACGTGAAGGTATTTGTTATTCACTCATTTGAACTGTGTTAAATGGTAATAGTTCCTTGGTATAATACATATAAAATTGGGGTTAACCTAATCATCACAATCCTATTCAATATACTAACATTTTTCCTGTAAGCATTATATATAACTTAAGATTTTAGACATATGTACATGTATATGGCACATCACATGAGCTTTATTGATAAATATTTTTCATCATTTTTTTCATCCCATATCTCAAAAATTAGATGGTATTGCCCCAGATGCTGAATCTTGTGAAAGACAATATGACACATGTCCACTGGAACAAAGTCACATCACTGAAGGTAATATTTTTGAAGATAAAGGTAAAATCTTTAAGTGACAAAGTATGAAAATTAAAACTCATATTTATTACTTAACTCAGTTTATCTCTGCCTTATCTCAGCACAAGCAGTATATATTTTTGTGATTTTTTAAAAGGTACTTGTCACCAATTAATGTCTGCAAACTTGTTCTTAACACATACTCCTTGATGAATCTTGCTTCCTGTCAACCATCCTAAGTTTCGAATCACGCAAAACCTGAAAGTCAGTGCTCAAAGTGATGTTGGATTTTGTAAAATCCACTTTTAATCATGTAGGCCTTATAACAAAATTAGGAATTTACTAACACTACTGGCAGATTCTTTAGCACTAACACCCATATTAACCACATAACCCACAATTAAACCAATTTAACCTAGGAGTATTTACCAC